TAACAGTTTCTCCCTTAGTTATTATGCTCAGCATTCTTACTCTGAAATACACAGTCTCTTATTCCTTTAATCATTTCATTTCCTGCACCTGGGTTGACCTGGCCCGGGATTTGAAGGGGGCACGTCTCCCCAGGAACGTGCTCTGCCCTGCACCTTCCAAGGCCAGAGTCCTGCCGCTCACTTCTCTCTCCTGGCCGCTGGTCTGAGGGCCAGGGCAGCACCGACTCTGTCCCAAAGCTTTCTAGATGAGTTTCAGCTGGCCACTGCCCATGGTGGCTGGCAGCCACCATGCCCCTTCCCTTTCTAAGCTCCCTGCAACTGCCACACACACTCTCTTCCAGATGACCTAGTGGATGGCTTTTTCCAAAGAAACAGGTTTCGGTGTCTTTATCAATTTTAGCTTTTGTGTTTGTTATCAGACTCCAGCTTCTTCTGTTGTCTGTTTCCCACCTCCCTGACCTTGCTTCCTGAGCCCTTGGCTCTTGCTCTCCCCTCGCGCTCTCTGTCCTGCAGGTGTGTGTGACGACACACTTCACTCCTTCTCATCCAGCACAAAGCCACCTAGGCCCTTGGGCGTCTGTCTCCGCGGGGACAGAGGTTGTCACCGTGAACACTGCGCTCTCTCCTTTCTGACGTGTCTGTAAACATCAAAGTTGATTTCCTCTTGGACTTAAGCGATATTGAGCAGAGCGCCTTAAAGGTTCCAATTAGCAAGTGCATGTCGGGGGTGGGGCGGGCATCAATTTGTTTTTCCATTTGGCCAGAAACTATGTCCCTTAAAATTTCCGCCACGGACCGTGAACTGAGCAGTGGTGAACGTGTGTGGTGGATTTTCACTTGCCTGAGAACGTGTGGGATCGGAGAATCGGTGGGTTGTTTCCTCCTTGGTTCCCTCTTCCATGGTCTGTCTGAAACTCTACGTCCTGGAGTCGGGGTGGGGGTTCCAGCCTCTGTCGCAACCAGCTTCTGTCCAGCTCTTTCCTGCCTTTACATAAAGCAGACACAGCTACCTCTTAACTTTGTCTTTTTGGTGTAAGAGGTTGATACCTGTTTAAAGGTTGATGTAAACGCTTGTTCTGCATGAAAGAGGCTTGGATCCTCACCTCCCAGGATGAATTCTGGACTCTGCCTTCTCTTGTAACCTTCTCCCCAGAGCGCTTCTGTTCCTCGTCACTTACTGGCCGTGCCTCCGGGTGTATGGCCTGACCTTGGCCAAGGGCAGGCTCTGACGGCACTCAGAGGGGCCTCGTCTGGGGGTCTGCACTTTGGCAGAGCCTTTGTCTTTGACAGGAAGCTGATCTAACATCAGCTCACCCTGCCTCGGCTGTGGGCCTCTCGCTGCCTCTTGCTCAAACTTTTCTTCCTTTGTTCCTGTTTCCTCTTTCTCTTGTCTTTTACCAAATGTGAACTATGGGGTGCTGTGGCGTGTGTGGGGTTTAAAAGGAAGAGATTCGGTTTGTCTTCTGAGTCTCGGTCCCTGAAGCTCAGAGCTCTGTCCACTGTGAAGGGTGATCCTCAGGGCGCCCGGGGTCTCCGGATGAACCACTTCCTGTGGTGGTACTCAGTTGCGCCAGCGCCCCCCTGCTGGGCAGGGTCAAGCTCAAGGGTGACTAATGCAAAATCCTTGCCGGTGGCAGTGGGTTGGGGGGTGGCGGTGGGGTTGGGGTGGCCTTGGGTTTCTGAACCTGCCTGGACTTGGGGTTTTGCACCTCGAGTCCTGGTGCTGGGCTGCCCTTTGATCTGAGGAGTGTGCGGTGCAGCGTGCGAGCTGGCACATCATCAGGGAGGCACCGCACACCTGGGCTCCGGTGGCCAGCTGGAACGCCCTCCTCCTTGCTCTTGGACCAGCTGGCCCAGCCGAGTCAGCACCCCAAGTACATGAGGGCTCTTCAAGCTGGTCCAGGCCCCTCCAGGCACACAGAGAGATGAGGCCGAGTGTCGCTGGCGTACCCGGACTGACACTGACCTGAGCCATCGGCACCCAGAGGGGTCCTGGTCTGCAAAGTCCTATGATGCTGGTTTCAGGCATCAAGGCTCTGATAGCCAGTCCTGGCTGCGGGGCGCGGGTGCTGTGACCTCTGCCTGCAGCTGAGAGCAGGGCTGGCTGCAGGCCCCACCTCTGCCTGCTCCCAGCTGGCCACCCTCAGCTCGCAGAGCTGCCGTGTGTCCAGGTGTCCTGTCCCTGAGGGGCTGTGGACACCGGGGCCAGGGTGGAACCGTTGGCAGTGACTGTCCCAATGCTTGAGTGAGGATGACACTTTGTGGGAACAGCCCCTCCCACTAGCTTCCTGTGGTCAAGGTCAGGGCCTGTGGGTTGTCTTGCCTAACCGAGGAGCACTCCCTTCCCTCCAGGTGGTGGGGGCTCCAGGAGCACCCCTCCAGCTGTGATTGCTCCCCTCCCCTCTCCCCGCCCCTGCCATCCCCCCGTGTGGGAGGGGCTCCAGCTGTGAGCAGCACACGTTCTGCAGCCTTAGCTTCCCCAGGCCAGGAGGGGGTTCCCTGCCAGCAGTCGTGACCCTCTGGGGTTCCATCTGTGGCCACAGGAGCAAGCGTGGAGAGCTGAGGTTATAGCCTCCCTGACGGGCCGCATGCATGGTTGCGGCACTTGGGGTGGGGGGTTCCCCTCCTCCACTTGGAGCCACTTCTGGCTCAGATGTGGGGTGCTCTCCTGAGGCCACCTGGATCTGGCAGTGCCCTGGTCAGCCGAGGTCATGGGCACACACGGGCCCCACAGGCCACTGGGCTACGGAACCTGAAGGGACCAGGAGAACTCTGCGGCAACTCTGGGCTTTCACAAATGGGTGGGCGTTCAGTGAACCGAAACCTTCCTCCCAGCTCTGCTCTGTGACCCTGGAAGCCAGAGCAGGGCATGAGTTCTGCTTTTGACCTGAACAGGAAGGATCATGGTTGCATTTTGACACTTCTAGCTCCTGACTGTAACCTTGGCAGGGACCAGGGAGCAAGGTCACCTCTGAAAAGACAGTAGGGTGAGGCTGAGTGGAACTCAAAAGGACTGGGACTTCCCAGGGGCGCCCTGGGGTCCTCTTCCATCCAGAGCCCCTGGTACACATGCAGAGGTTATGCGAGAGCAGAGGCTAGGGCATGACCCACCCCCAGGGGCACTCAGGGCCCACAGGCCACAGCAGGGGCCACAACAGGGACCATGTGGCCCGCCACACAAGCACATCTTGGGCCGGAGCCTCTGTGGGCCCAGATTTGGGACCCCGAGGCCACCGTGCTGGCCAACACCATCAGCGGTGCACTGGGCAAGGTATTCAGGGCGAGCCTGTTCATCTTGGTTTGATCTTGGTTTTTGATAAAACACACCCACTTCCTGTCGGCTGCCTCTGGTTTGCTGGTTTCTCAGCACCCTCTCCACTCTCTTGGTATCAGATTAAAAGGTTGCAGACCTATAGGTTTCTCAGGAAGCCCTGCCATCCTTCCTGGAAACTGAGCTGGAGGAGGTCTGTCACTTTGGGCCAGACCTGGATCCCTGGGGCACTTCCAGGGAGGGGGTGGGCGGCATCTCCCTGAGGGCGGGGCCAGCTGGCTGGGTCCTGCGTAGCAGGCAGTGGGTTTGAAGGTGCTGCGTCCACCTCAAAGACCCAGCGCCAGAACCAGCATACCAGCCTCCCGCCCCGCCCCCACCATCTTGCCTCGGGAGCATCAGGACCAGGAGAACTCTGCGGCAACTCTGGGCTTTCACAAAGTTGGGTCGGTGATGACCCAACTCCCCATCCATGCCTCACTCCAAGTGCTGGGTTTTTTAGGACAGCAGGTGCAGAATAAGAAAAACACAATAGTGTTAGCCTACAGCTGGTGGCCTCAGGTAAGGCAGGTGATGGCTCTGCAGGACTGTGTCTTGGCCACCAGCCCAAGCTCACCTGCCCGATGCACAGTGAGGTCAAACAAACACCTTGGAGCAGCGAAACGTTTACTGCAGGGCCAAGCAAAGAGACTGTGGCTCGGGCCCTAAAATCCTTGAGCTGCTTGAAGATTTTGACAAAGCATATTTAAAGGCAAAAGGAGGGAGGGGCTTAGCAGTGTATGCGATCAGTCCGTGTGCAGTTCTCTGATTGGCTGATGCTGAGGTAATAGGGTGGGATCACAGGGGTTAACATTATCTGTCCTCAAGATCCAGTAGGTCTGGGGGCCTGGCGTTCATGGTCATTATTCAATCAGCTTCCGTTTGGTGGGGATTTTAGCATCTGTAAGACAACCTAGGAAATGTGTCTCAGGGACTGTTATCTAGGTACTTCAGGGAGAAACTAAAGCTTCTGTGACTGCCACATGGCTGAATTACTGTTTCAATTCTTACCAGTTCTCCCGGCTCAACTGCTGGTCCTGTCACTGCACATTCACATCCTTTGGATCATTAATTCTCCAGCCAGGTCCTGTGACTCAGGGGAGGCCTGGGAGACCACAGCTTCTCTGTAAACAAGAGGCAGGCAGAGGATGGGGTGGGCAGGGCCTGCCCAGTCACACTTCCTCACCCTGGGGGCAAGCGTCCAGCAGGCAGGCAGCACAGTCCTGGTGCTGCAGAAGCTGAGTTAGCTTCTCTCCAAATCCTGCTTCTGCCTCCTGCCAGGAGGCCTCGGCACACCGACTCTCTGCTCCAAGCTCAGCTCAATTCGCTGGGGACTCAGGGCCACAAAGGGCACACAGGGCCCTGACCCAGAGCATGCCACCCCCCAGGCACACCTGTGGTGTGTGTGTGTGTGTGTGTGTGTGTGTGTGTGTGTCGCTGGCAGGAGGCCCACTCCCTGCTCATCCTTGGAGGTCCAGATGGCTCAGCGGAGTGCAGCACACGTGACCAGCTCAGGCCTCCTCCTCTGCTGGTCGCATAGCCTGGGTGAGGGGGTCGGGGAGACTGACCTGTGCCAGCCCCACCCCAGCCCTGAGCACCCCTTGGCAGCAGGGACCCGGCCTCCCAGCTCTGTGTCTCCAGGCCCAGAGTCTGGGGTCTGAGGCTGTGTCACTGCCCCTTCCCTCCACAGGACATGCTGCGCCAGCGCCCCCAGCTGCTGCTCCTAGCAGGCCTGCTAGCCCTCCAGTCTGGTGAGTCCCAGGGGGGCAGCTCCTCCCGGGCAGAGTGGACCCACCCTTGCACCCTCCTGGACAGGGGCTCAGGAAGGGCCCTGCTCTGCCCCTCTACCTGGGGCTGACCTGGGGCCCACCCTCCTGAAGACAGCATCCCGTGGGCCCTGGTTTCCTCCCTGCTTCCTGGTCCTCCCGTTGGCCCTCCTTCTCCACTACCCCTGCCTGCGGGCTTGGTCATCCATTCACAGCCCCCAGCCCCTCATCGCTGCCCTTGGAGGGCCCGCCATCTCTGGGAGAGGGGGGTTGACCAGTGCCGGCTCACCAGCCTGTCTCTCCCTCCCAGTTCGGTCCCAGGAGTGCACCAAATACAAGGTCAGCACCTGCCGGGACTGCATCGAGTCGGGCCCCGGCTGTGCCTGGTGCCAGAAGCTGGTAAGAGCCTCACTGAATGGTGTCAGCCACCCTGCAGGTCCTCGCGCCCAGCCTGCCCTTCCTCTCTTCCCTCCTCCTGGGCTGGAGCCCCGTCTCTGCCTCTGAAACTGCCGGCCCCCAGGAGCGCCATCACTCTGCTTCCTAGCGGGGCAGGAGCAGGCCAGGGACACAGCGTTGTCAGAGAGGCAGACAGACAGGCAGACCGAGTGGTGTCCCCAGGCAGCCTGGCAGAGGCAGATCTAAGTGAAACCGCTGGGTTGGGTCAGGTGCAGTCAGTTGGGCCCTGGAGGCAGAAACCCTGGGCCAGACAAGGGAGAGATACGTGTGGGCGGAGCTGCCCCGGATCCCCGCTAGCCATCCGCTCCGAACCGGGAGGGGTGGGCAAGCTTCCTACTGCGTCCTGAACTCTCTGCTCTCCTTACTTCATGTTTTACTTTTGAGACCTTCTGGGGAGAAAGGCAAAGGCCCAGGATATCCAGGATGTGGGGGAGCTCCACCTCCTCCTGGGGAGGACCCCTTCCCTGGGGACCCCCGAGATCCTGACCATTCCCTTCTCCTGGAGATTCCTGAGGTTCAGACACTGCAGGTCTGTTTGGAAACACATGCATGCACACACATTATTATTTTTTCTCAATTGTTGGAGAGTAGGTTGCAGACACGAGCCCCTTTGTCCCATAAGGTTTCCAGGGACTTCCTCAAAAACAAGGTATTCACTTACAAAACCACAATGCATTTATCAAAGCCTGGAAATTTAACACTGTACTTTACTCTGATCAAATTTACACACCTCAGGGCTTCCCTGGTGGCCCAGTGGTTAAGAGTCCACCTGCCAATGCAGGGAACACAGATTCAATCCCTGGTCTGGGAAAATCCCACAGATCATAGAGCAGCTAAGCCCGTGCACCACAGTTACTGAAGCCCACACCCAGCAAAGGCCCAGTACAGCCAAAATAATAAATAAGTAAAATAAATAAAAAGACAAACTTACACACCTTGTACAAATTTTGCCAATTGTTCCAATAATGTCTTTGCTATCATCCCTGCCTCACTGGTCAATATTATAATCCAGGATCACACATTGCGTTTGAATGTCGCTTTATCTCCTCAAACCTGGAACATTCCTCAGATTTCTTTGTCTTTCACATCCTTGACATTTCTCAAGAGTTCAGAACAGCAGTTGTACAGAATGTCCCTTATGTGGGTTTGTCTGGCATTCCCTCTGACACAGCCCAGGGTGGGCCTTTCAGCAGGAACCCCGTGCAGGGCTCCTAGTACAGGCAATCTGTCCTAATATGGGCAATGATAGCCTAGACCACTCATCTAAGGGAAACGTCTGCTAAACTCTCCACCATGATGTCAGTATTTCCCCTTTGCAATTAGTAAATAATTTGTGGGGAGAAACTCTGAAGTCAGGAAGCACTCTGCTTCCCTTGAAGCCTACACCCACTCACTCTAGCTTCCATCGGTTGATGGGAGCCTGAATCAGTTATCAATGGGATGGTTGCAGAATGGTGACATCCCTGTTCATGACTCCCTCCAATGGCTCCTAATGTAAAAGGAATATTTCCTTCCGGCAATCTCCCTCTCTCTTTCTCATTGGTGTGGACCCATAGATGTTTATGTTACTGGGTAGCTTATAAGCTATCACTTTCCATTTGTCATTTTGAAGCTCAAATTGTTCCCCATTTGGTCATGGGAGCCCTGGGGCTGGCCCTGTGCCCTACTAGCACATCCCAGCATCACTTCCTGAGCTCTCTCTCTGGGATCTCAAGGGGCTCCTGGCCCCTTGGCACTTGCCTGGCCACCACCAGAGGGTTCCTGGTTCCCTTCATGAGAAGCCAGGCTCCCAACATCTACAATACATTTCCCCACTTCCTCCTCTGACTCTGGGGAAGTGGTTATAGAGTTGCTACCCACAGCACTGCAGGGAGGAGATGGTATGGTCCCTGTGCTCTTCTGTTGTTGGCATGCAGTCACAGACCAGCTAGCAAGTCCCTCCTCGAGGTGGGTTTCTCCCTTCCCTCCTGTGAGCTTCTCGTTTGCATCTGAAACGCAGTTAGGTTAAGTTGCTTCTGAGCAGATTCCATTTTAGGGATTTCTTCCCTCCCCGTTTCCTGTTAATTTTATTTCCCTAATACTTAAAGTGGGCTTCCCAAGTGACTCGTGGGAAAGAATGCCTGCCAACACAGGAGATGCAAGAGATGCAGGTTCTATCCCTGGATCAAGAAGATCCCCTGGAGGAGGAAATGTCAACCCACTCCAGTATTCTTGCCTGGAGAGCCCCACGGACAGAGAAGCCTGGCGGGCTACAGTCCATAGGATGGCAAAGAGTCAGACTCAACTGAGCCACTAAGCATGCTCACAGGCACGCAGCAATTAAAGCATTAATAGGGTTTCAAAAGTGAAGACAGTACCGAGGCAGCTCAGGAAGCACCACCCCTCTAGTGGCCACGCCCCTTTAGTCTGGCCCTGCCCCCTGAGCTCTCAGGCCTTCTTGTTGGTTGTTCAGGGGCTCGGTCATGTCTGACTCTGTGACCCCATGAACTGCAGCACAACAGGCTTCCCTGTCCTTCACCATCTCCCGGAGCTTACTCAAACTCATGTCCATTGAGTCTGTGATGCCATTCAACCATCTCATCCTCTGTTGTCCCCTCTTCCTCCTGCCTTCAACCTTTCCCTGCACCAGGGTCTTTTTTAATGAGTCAGCTCTTTGCATCAGGTGGCCATAGTATTGGAGTTTCAGCTTCAGCATCAGTCCTTCCAATGAATATTCAGGATTTATTTCCTTTAGGATGGACTGGTTTGATCTCCTTGCAGTCCAAGGGACTCTCAAGTCCAACACCGCAGTTCAAAAGCATCAATTCTTCAGCTCTCAGCCTTCTTGATGGTCCAACTCTCACATCCATACAGGACTACAGGGAAAATCATAGCTTTGACTGTACACAACTTTGTCAGCAAAATAATGTCTCTGCCTTTTAATACGCTGTCTAGGTTGGTCACAGCTTTTCTTCCAAGGAGCAAGTGTCTTTTAATTTCATGGCTGCAGTCACCATCTGCAGTGATTTTGGAGCCCAAGAAAATAAAGTCTGTCACTGTTTCCACTGTTTCCCCATCTATTTGCCATGATATGATGGGACTGGATGCTATGATCTTAGTTTTCTGAATGTTGAATTTTAACCCAGCTTTTTCACTCTCCTCTTTCACCTTCATCAAGAGGCTCTTTAGTTCTTCTTCACTTTCTGCCATAAGGGTGGTGTCATCTGTATATCTGAGGTTATGGATATTTCTCCCTGCAATCTTGATTCCAGTCTGTGCTTCGTCCAGCCCAGCATTTTGCGTGATGTACTCTGCATATAAGTTAAATAAGCAGGGTGACAATATACAGCCTTGATGTACTCCTTTCCCAGTTTGGAACCAGTCCATTGTTCCATGTCTGGTTCTAACTGTTGCTTCTTGACCTGCATACAGGCTTCTCAGGAGGCAGGTAAGGTGGCCTGGTATTACCATCTCTTTAAGAATTTCCCACAGTTTGTTGTGATCCATACAGTCAAAGGCTTTCGCGTAGTCAATGAAGAAAAGTAGATGTTTTTCTGGAGGTCTCTTGCTTTTTCTATGATCCAATGTATGCTGACAATTTGATGTCTGGTTCCTCTACCTTTTCTAAATCCAGCTTGAATATCTGGAAGTTCTCAGTTCATGTACTGTTGAAGCCTAGCTTGGAGGATTTATAACATTACTTTGCTAGCACGTGAGATGAGTGCAATTGTACAATAGTTTGAACAGTCATTGGTATTACCTTTTGGGATTAGAATAAAAATTGACCTTCTCCAGTTCTGTGGCCACTGCTGAGTTTTCCAAATTTGCCAGCATGTTGAGTGCCTCCTATCAGGCCTCCCGTCTGGTTGTTATCTCCTAGTCTCCCTCTGTGGGAGGAAGCTGGACCCATCGATGCGGCCCCTTGGCTCTCCTTGCTGCAGAGACATCCAGGGGGCCTTCATAGGAGCAGAGTGGTCACGAGGAAAGTGCCCTGGACCCAGGACCCCCACGCTCCCCCCTCTTTTCCTTCTGATCTGCTTGGCCCAGAGCCCTGGTCTCTCTTCCCAGGGTGCCCGGGCGTTAACTGGTGGGCCAAGAGGGGCACCCGTGTTCCCTCAGGACAGAGCCGCTCCCTCCCAGCAAGACACTGCTGAGGAAGGGGTTGAAAACCTGGGCCAGATGCTCGATGGGCCATGGAGGGTACCCATGGGTCCGCCTGGAGCTGAGATGCTGGCCCTGAGCCGCTTCCACTGCTGGAGGCTGTGGGGAGAAGCCTGCTGGTGCCAGGCTCTCCTGGGACCCCGAGCCTTGTGAAGAGGCTGCCCAGCCGCCCCCCCCCATCCCTGCGACCGCACCCCCAGGGACCTCTTCCTGAACAGCAGGGCGGATGAGGGGGTCAGCCTGGCGCGGCACCCACAGCATGGGCTCCCATATCTTCTCTGTGCTATCCCTGGCCCCTGCCTCCCCCAGAACTTCACAGGGCAAGGGGAGCCCGACTCCGCTCGCTGTGACACACGGGCGCAGCTGCTGTCAAAGGGCTGTGCCACTGATGACATCATGGAACCCAGGAGCCTCGCTGAGACCCGGGAGAGCCAGGCAGGCAGAGAGAAGCAGCTGTCCCCACAGGAAGTGACGCTCTACCTGAGACCAGGTAGGCTTGGCTGGCTAGGGGTGGGCCAGCCCTGATGGCACGTGTATCCACGTGTCCCTGCCCCAGGAGGATGTCCCCAGCACCCCACCTGCAGCCGGCGCCTAGTCTCGCTTTTAGCACTGCATTCTGCGTCCTAAAAAAAGGGAGACTAAACCATCTGGAAAACACTCCTGTATCCCTCCCTCAGAAGATGAGCTTATTTTTGGCTGAGTGAAGGCTCTGATAAGGCCTGTAACCTAGGAACCCAAGTAAACCTTTGAATCAGTGTTGCCCACCTGACTTGACCACAGACCCAGGTTTAGGACACAGCTCCCTGTTAGCACTCCAAGAAACACCCTTCAGGAAGGTGGCATGGTGGAGCAGCAGGGGGTGATGGTGGACGGGCCTGGGCAGGGCTGGGGCAGCCCCATGGGGGAGCTGATGCTGGAAGGCGGGCTGGCAGAGAGGACTTGATTCATCATGGCTTTGTCAAGCACCAGCTGTGTGCCAGGCGCCTACCTGAGAGCTGGGAACACAGGCTGTTTGTATCGACAGGGAACAAGTCATAACATGTGCAGGCAGTGATTAAGACGATGAGGAGCAGAAGCTGGTGGGGCTGTGATTGAGGAAAGCGGGGGGTGTCCCCAGGATGTCCAGGGAGCCCTTTTGGGCACGGGACAGGTTTGCTCAGTGGCTGGTGGTAGAGAAGGCCTTGCCAGGGAGACCCAGGGAGATCCAGGTGGATCTGAATCTCAACAGTGCTGGATAAACAATGAGCACTTCCTGTATCTTCTTGTATCCAGCACATCTTGTATCCAGATGGTCTTCTATGTCAGAATGTGCGCTTTACCTGAAATCGGGATCTGAGTACGCACCCTGCATCTTATCCACCAGCTTCAGAGAATCGGGGAGTCCTGAGGGTTCTGAGGCCTACAGAGGCAACAGTTCCCCTGAAACCCCCCACCCCCAGACCAGGTGGTACACCCTGACTCTCTCCTAAATCCTGGCAGGTCAGGCAGCTGCGTTCAACGTGACCTTCCAGAGGGCCAAGGGCTACCCCATCGACCTGTACTACCTGATGGACCTCTCCTACTCCATGGTGGATGACCTCGTCAACGTCAAGAAGCTGGGGGGTGACCTGCTCCGGGCCCTCAACGGCATCACTGAGTCGGGCCGCATCGGTGAGGCAGCTACTCCTTCTTCCCCCGACCCCCCAAGCCCCGGTCCCAGGCACCTCTGCACCTCTGTGCCTCCCCACGTTGCCCCACACTGGTAGGAGGTAGGGAAGTCAAGGCTCACGGCCTCCTACTGTCCACCAGGTTTCGGGTCCTTCGTGGACAAGACGGTGCTCCCCTTCGTCAACACGCACCCCGAGAAGCTGCGGAACCCCTGCCCCAACAAGGAGAAGCAGTGCCAGCCCCCGTTCGCCTTCAGGCACGTGCTGAAGCTCACTAACAACTCCAAACAGTTCGAGACAGAAGTCGGGAAGCAGCTGATCTCGGGGAACCTGGACGCCCCCGAGGGAGGGCTGGATGCCATGATGCAGGTGGCCGCGTGCCCGGTGAGGCTTCATCCTGAGCAAACCACCTGAAGCCCAGATACGAGGAAATGACCCTGGGAAGCAAGACCCCTTTGCCGCCCGATCCTGGTAGTCCCCTACTTCCAGAGCCCCTCAGAGAATGGGGTGTCCTGGCCAGGCTCACCCCCAGTATGTGGTTTCGCTGTCAATGCTGGCCACCCCCTGGCCGCTGCTGACCCCTCCCCACGTGGTCTTGTCCCACCGCTGTATCTGTGATGTCAGTGTTACAGCGCATTGATCCAGTTTGGCCATGCAGTCCTGTCGCCTTCACAGATGGGATCCCAACCCTCCAGGCGCTCTGGTCCCTGGGCACACCGCCCTGCCTCATAGACCCACACTTTCATCTCTGTGTGATTATCACGGTTCATGTTGCGTGTTGCTGACGTGCCCTGGCTCCATCACCCCCTCACCCCAGTGTCCGTGGCCGCTTTCCTCTGTGTTGGCAGTGCTTTTCCACCGAGATAAACATTTCTAAGTATTTTTTCTCCTTTGGGAGCATCTCCTTAGGAGGTGCTCCCAGGTCTGAGCTGACTGGCTACGGAGGATGCAGTGTTCAGATGTGAACATGCATTCCTATCCCCTTGGCATCCCACACCTGCCCAGGCAATTAGGGAGGCTGTCACCCTGCAGACACTTCTCGGGTCCCCCTGGGCGCTGGAATCTGCAGCAGACACGGGACCCTAAGTCAAACAGCTGGGACCTTCTCTGGTCCCCATGCTCCCTAGAAAACCCAGGTGTTGGGGGCACACGAGGCCCCCATGGCAAGCTCAGCCTCTGCTCCTGCAGTCTGTGGGGGCCCTGCTGGGGAAACTGAGGCAGGTCACTCCCACCATCTCTTTGTCAGGAGGAAATCGGCTGGCGCAATGTCACCAGGCTGCTGGTGTTTGCCACGGATGATGGCTTCCACTTTGCGGGCGATGGAAAGCTGGGTGCCATCCTCACCCCCAATGACGGCCGCTGCCACCTGGAAGACAACCTGTACAAAAGCAGCAACGAATTTGTGAGTGCAGTGTCCGGGGGTGGGAGGTGGGAGGGTGTGGGTCTGCTCCAGGAGAGCAGGGATGGAGACTCACCCCCAGCCTGGGGTCCAGAGGGGCAGGAAGGGGCCCTCGCTCCCAGGGAGGCACTTTGATGGCACCGAGAGGGCAGAATTCCCTGGTCTGCTGGCATTGTAATCCCTGGAGCTGCAGAGGATTTCAGAGATGGGACCCTTGGGGCCCTCCACCTGCAGCCTGCAGACTTGAGGCAGGAGGTGGTGGGGGCAGCTCTCAGGGGCCCGAATGGGGCAGGACGAGTGTGACATCTGAGGTTCCTGTGAGCGTCTGTCTGAAACCGTACATGAGACGGCTATGAAAATCGACGCCACTGTGCGATTCCCCACTGGCTCAGTGCATGAAGAATCCACCTGCAAGGCAGGAGACACAGGAGACGCGGGTTCGATCCTTGGGTTGGGAAGATCCCCTGGAAGAGGAAATGGCAACCCACTCTGGTATTCTTGCCTTGAGAATCCCATGGACAGAGAAGCCTGGCAGGATACAGTCTATGGGGTCACACACAGTTGGACACGACTCAGTGACTATGCATGCTGTGGGGCAGTGTCTGTGATCTCAGTCCCAGCGTTTCCAGAGGGGTTTTCCCAGTGCCCTACAGCTCAGACACAGCAAAGTACCGCTCACTTATCTCCACATTGAGGGTCTGTGAATCGTTACTTGCCACTGGACTTCTTTTTTGGTGCATTGATCAAGAAGCACACCACAACTTTTTAATATTTTCTTGAGTGTATTTCAGTATTGTCCGTCTCCCTCCTAATCCATGCTCTCCCTACTAACCCCATTCTCTTATGTGTTTGCAAACATCACTGGGAACAGCCCCATCACAGCGCAAGCAGGGCAGAGCCTCTGCACTCTGGGCAGTCACTTCTGCCTGTAGGAGCTGACGGGCGGCCTGGATGGCTTGTCCCCAGCCTCAGGGCCATCTGACCGGGGGTCTCCTCTCTAGGACTACCCATCGGTGGGCCAGCTGGCACACAAACTGGCAGAAAGCAACATCCAGCCCATCTTTGCGGTAACCAAGAAGATGGTGAAAACATACGAGGTAAGTGGACTTAAGCAAGCTGGCAGGACAAGGTGTTGCAGTGGAAGAGTGACAAAATCTGGGGTGATCAGACTGAGTGCTGCTTCCATGCTGGGTGTTCTGGTCGAGGCCAGGCGGGCGGCCACAGGCAGTGAGCACTGCGGAGGAGGAGCTGACAGGTCCTTGTGGCTCAGTGATCGTGCTTTTGCTGCAACATAGAAAACCCTTCGAGTCTACAGGTCCCATTCTTCACATCAGGAAAAGTTCCTTGTTTTGTGTCCACGTACATTTGCACATCAGCACTTCTTCTCCCCTCTGCCCGTCACTGGAGGGCTGTTTACTTGCTGTCTTGTGTTTCTGTCTGCTGAGCTCAGCGTGGCGGCCTTTCTGGCTGCAATGGGCTGGGGGCGCCTCCTGGCCCCTCTCCTCCCCTAAGTCCCAGGCTCCTTCCTCTTGCCTGTGACCTGCTGTGCCTCTGTGGGACACTTGCAGGCCCGAGGGTGGGACCAGCCGCACCCACCGTCAGCATTCAGGGCCCCACCCCGGGCACAGGATGCAGGGGACGCAGAGGGAGGAGGGACAAGTAGCCAGGGGCGGGTGGTGGGAGCTGGCCAGACCACAGGGGCAGTGCAGGGCTGATGGCTGGGTGCGGCCGAGAGACCACCATCTGCACAAGTTGCCTGAGCGCCGGCAGGTCAGGACCTCCAGTCGCCGTGTCCCCGACCGCATTACCAGATGCTGCAGTCTCTCTTCACCAAGTGGTGGCATGGGTCCCAGCACTTTGCTTTGAAGAGCAGGAGTCATGTCCCAGAAGGCAGTGTGGTGAGAGGGCAGGAGCCGGAGATGGAAGACATGGACCCTGGACCCTGCTCCCCGACAGCAATGATGAGAGCCCAGGCAGTCGCAGGCCTCGCTGAGCCTCAGCTTCCTGACCCCCATTCCTGGGGCTCCCAGGGGGTCCTAGGAGGCTCAGGGTCTATGTGAACAGTTTATGTAGGACCCTCCTCAGTGTATGTTTCTGCTCTGAGTGGAAAGCAGGTGGCTGGGAGGACTTCCCGAGCCCCAGCGGGGTCCTGAGCTAGGAGCTAGGAGCATCACCCACTTGGTGATGGAGGCCCAAGGTGGGTGGCCAGGTTGTGACGGTCCTCGTAAGCCACAAATGGAGGGGACTGGACTCCATTCCAGGGCATCACAGCAGGGTTGGGGGCAGGGACATGACCCAGCCCTCCGCTCTGCAAGATAAAGTGATGGTGCAATTTCCTGTGAAAGATAAGCTAAACTGGGGGGAGGCGGAGTCAGAGGGCACAAAGAAGCAGAGGGCAGAGGCGGGGGCAGAGGCTGGCCCCAGGCTTACCTGCGTGACCCGGTGCTCCGGCCTGCCTACCCAGAGGTGTACCTGGACTGGGTGTGGCCCCACCTATCAGAGTCAACCAGCATGCTGTTATTTAACGCAGCCATTGTTGAAGTTATGTCAACTCATTCACACGCTCGGTACACATCGCTTCCTGACTTTATGCCACATTTTACGATGACCTGTGCCCCTGGTTCATTTGTGCCTGTCACATCTGCGAGGTGGGGCGGGCCCCTAGCTGTGGCACATCTTCCCGGCTCTGCCCTCAGTGACCAGCTTGAAATAGATCAGGGGGAAGTATTTATACCAAGTAAATGTCTGCCCACACAACACTGACCATGCGCACAGTAAGAAGTCGTGTGGGGGGTTGTCTGGGCCATCTCACCAGCAGGAAGGAAACCTCTGGGGTGTGACAGAACTGGGTGGACACTGGGGCGTCCTTGGCCCTGTGGTTCTGGCCACGACCACCTGTGTTCTGCCCTGACAGAAGCTGACGGAGATCATCCCCAAGTCTGCAGTCGGGGAGCTGTCTGAAGATTCCAAGAATGTGGTGGAGCTTATCAAGAGTGCCTACAATGTGAGTCCCCCGGGGAGTCAGCAAAGACGGGGTCCCCCCCCCCCGCAGGTCAACAGGAGGGTGGTCTGGTGCGGAGAGTCCCGGTCTTGTCTGGGCCACCCTCAGGCGCCTCCCCAGGGCAGCAATGTCCTCCATGGTTAATGGCATGGTAGGTGCCACCCCACGCCCTCCTGCACTTTGCTGGAACACCAGCGCCAGGCCCTCTTACAGCCGCAGGGCCTGAGGGCCTCACAGGCACAGCTCGCTGAGGACACCAGAAGCGCTGGTGGCACTGGGTGAAGTCGGAGCCCCGTGGGGGAGCGCCATCTGCTGCTCCTGCCCTTTGGAGCCCTAAGCCCCAGCAGGCCCTCCCAAACGCCAGATGCTGTCCAGGGGGGCTATCTCAGCTCTCTGCATCTATCTCTGTGTGTGTCTCTCTCTGTCTGTCTCACTCTCTCTCATTCACTTAAACAGTTTTTCCAGCTCCTGCCCTGTGCCAGGCACTGGGGTTTCAGTGGTGAGTGGACAGTTGAGCTCCTGTTCTCGTGGGGCTGGGACCCGTCTCCATGTCCGTACCCTCCACTGGCCTGTCTTGGGGGGCATGATGTGGGTAACCTGGCACCCACAGAGCTCTCTGTGGATGCATGGTGGGTGGGGGGGATGAGAGGCATGCCAGCCGTGGCCTGGAAGGGCCGGGGACAGCAAGATGAGTCTGATGGTGCCGCTGTCTCCCCACAGAAACTGTCCTCCAGAGTCTTCCTGGGTCACAACACCCTCCCTGACACCCTGAAAGTCACCTACGACTCCTTCTGCAGTAACGGGGTGTCGAAGGTGGACCAGCCCAGAGGGGACTGCGACGGCGTCCAGATCAACGTCCCGGTGAGGCTCCCTCCCAGCCTCTGGAAGGGGCTCCCCTGGGACAGCAAGAGGGTGTGCCCTGGCCAACAGCCTACGGGGGATCAGCTAGAGGTTGGGCCTGTCCACCTACGGTCCAGTTCCTTCCCTTTAAAGTCCACAAACGCTGTGGCCTGGTGTGGACAGACCCCTGACTGTGAGGACTGCAGCGCCCCCTGGGGGCAGATGCTGGGCATAGCACCACACACCTAAAGAGGGCATTCCTTCCCCTCTGGGCATCTGCTTTGATTTTCCTGATTTTTGTGTTTTTGTTTACTGTTATTATTGTAATGAATTTATTTATTTGGGTGTGTCAGGTCTTCGTTGTTGCATGTGAGCTCCCCAGTTGTGGCGAGCGGGCTTAGTTGACCCTTGGCACATGGGATCTTATTTCCCCAACCTGGATGTAACCCAAGTCCCCTGCATTGGAAGGCAGATTCTCAACCCCTGGACCACCAGGGAAATCCCTGTATTCTTGTTTTTTGACAAAGACATTAAAGCAGAGGCCACACAGATGATTACAAGCAGGCAGTGAGTCATTTCTCTAATAGTTTAAATTTGTCATGACCAGGAATGATTAAATGTTTTCTTTCACCAGCTGTGAATTAATATTCAGCAAAATACTTGCTTTTATTTCTGAATGACATTGAAATTATTTCAAATATGTGATTTAAATACATGTGAATTTTTGACTGAAATCTCTGCCCCTCTGACTGGGGGATCCATGCCCAAATGCACTCAGTGTTGACTGCCTGATTCCTCCCTAATGTTTCCGCTCTGTCTTCATGTACTGGGTGGAGACTCACTTATGTTGACCAGCAGTGAGGCTGACCAGGTGCTCCGTGAAGCTCCCTGCGGGCTGAGCAGCAAAGCAGTGCGGGTGGGGGGCACTCTGCGCTGCCGGCTCAGTTCTTCTGGGGCATTCAGGCTCAAGATACATCCTCACAGGCAGAACCTAGGACTTCCTGTGGTATTCTGACATCTTAGCCTCAGGGCTTCAGGACAAAATACCTGGAGAAAATATACATCATTTATTAATACAAAATCACTTTAAAATCAGTTTAAGAGATGCATGATTAAAAGAATTCTAAAGACACCTCCCGTGCAAGTCCAGGCCACCTGAGGATGGTGGGTGGGGGGAGCTGGGTGGGGGGGGTGCATGTTCCAGCATCTCTGAGTTTCCAGCTCTCATCTTCTTTTCCCTCATCTCCCTTCCTGAGCCCTGGAGCCACCTGGAATGTCCGTGTCCTTCCCCTCTCCCACCTCCATTCACTCCCTCCCCAGCCCAGCAGAGGCTGCACCCTGCCAGCCTGCTAGCGGAGGATAGTGGCCTTCACCCTTCTAGGCTGTGCCCTTGTCCATGTTGCCCAGAGGAGATCAGAGCAGGGTCATGACCCTGGGGTCCAGTGCTCACCTGAGCTCTACTTTCCCATGACAGGTCACCTTCCAGGTGAAGGTCACAGCCACCGAGTGCATCCAGGAGCAGTCCTTCACCATCCGGGCGCTGGGCTTTACGGACACGGTGACCGTGCGGGTCCTCCCCCAGTGCGAGTGCCAATGCCGGGACGCGAGCAGGGACCGCAGCGTCTGCGGTGGCAGAGGCTCGATGGAGTGCGGCGTCTGCAGGTGAGGCCGCCGCCCCGCTCCGCCCCCGGAGCAGGCGCCTGGAAGCAGGGTGCTCTCAAGAGGGCTCTGACTCCACATTCCCGCAGGTGCGACGCTGGCTACATCGGGAAGAACTGCGAGTGCCAGACGCAGGGCCGGAGCAGCCAGGAGTTGGAGGGCAGCTGCCGCAAGGACAACAGCTCCATCATCTGCTCGGGGCTGGGCGACTGCATCTGCGGGCAGTGCGTGTGCCACACGAGCGACGTTCCCAACAAGAAGATCTACGGTCAGTTCTGCGAGTGCGACAACGTCAACTGCGAGCGCTACGACGGCCAAGTCTGCGGGGGCGAAAGTGAGTGCTGGGGGCCGCGGGGCAGAGAGAGCCTCGGCCGCACGGGGCCGGGGCCCTTGGCCAGGGCGGGGCTCGGGAGAGGCTGAGTCCGAGGCGGCCTTGTCTTCCAGGGCGGGGAGGGGGGAGTTCGGGCGGGGCGGGGGCGGGACTGAGTCCGCGGCCGCGCTGTCTTCCAGAGAGGGGGCTCTGCTTCTGCGGCACCTGCAGGTGCCAGGACCAGTACGAGGGCTCGGCGTGCCAGTGCCTCAAGTCCACGCAGGGCTGCCTCAACCTGAACGGCGTCGAGTGCAGCGGCCGCGGCCGGTGCCGCTGCAACGTGTGCCAGTGCGACCCCGGCTACCAGCCGCCCCTGTGCATAGAGTGCCCGGGCTGCCCCGCGCCCTGCGCCGGCTTCGCGTGAGTGTCCGCCGCCCCGCCGGGCTCGCACCTGCTTGCGGGGTGGGGAGAACTACCGCCCGGCCCCGGGCGCGGGGCGGGGGCGCAGGCGGCCGGCCCTCCCCAGAAGGCCCCGCACAGACCTGTGTCTCCCGGCGGCCACTCCTCCCAACCCCGCCCCCGCTCACGCCCCGGCTCCCCGCAGCCCCTGCACCGAGTGCCTGAAGTTCGACAAGGGCCCCTTCGCCAAGAACTGCAGCGCAGCGTGCGGGGAGACGAAGCTGCTGTCCAGCCCGCTGCCTGGCCGCAAGTGCAACGAGCGCGACTCCGAGGGCTGTTGGATGACCTACACCCTGGTGCAGCGTGACGGGCGGGACAGATACGACGTGCACGTGAACGACACGCGCGGTGAGCCCGGGGATGGGGGGGACATCGAGAAAGGTCCCCGCCGCGCCCCCACTCCCCACCCCCGGGCCCCGCATCTCTAAGCCCGCCCCCGCCGCATCCCCACCGTACCTGGCCCCCACCGCATCTCTCAGCCTGCCCGGGTCGTCGTATACGCGAGCGGTGGGCTGTCCCACAGTAGCGCTGCCCCAAGCTGAGCGCGTCTGGAGAGCGGGTCCTGAGCGCCGGGCGGAGAGGCCCGTGGGGACCTCCAGCCCCAAGTCCAGCCCCTGCTCTGGAGGGGCCCGCAGAACTGCTGCTCTCTTCCCCAGATGCCCACTACCCACCAGTCACCCGGCTCTGCCCCCGACCCAGAGACCAGCGCAGTCGTCATAGGTGCCCCCATGACACAGGCTGGGGACATATGAGCAGGTTCTGAGGGACAAAGACTCCAGCGGGGCCTGTCTCTGAGGTCAGAGGTCAGAAGGTCAGAAGAGGTCCTTAGGTTGTCCTAAGGAGGACAGTTGCAGACAGTTGGAGAAGGTTGGAGGTGCTGGGCTGGGCACTTACTGGAGCTCTGAGAGTCCAGGGGAGCCTTAGGTCTCTTCCCAGACATGAAAGGAGGCTGCCAGCAGCTTTCAGAGAAGCACACGGCGTTCACGAGCCAGACACACACCTGGGAAGGGCCACTGCCCGGTCCAGGCACTGAGCAGGGCTGGGTTGGGGTCCTGGGGGCGGTGTGGACAGAGCCTGCTCTGGAATGCAACTCTGGGCAGGATCAGAAGGGACAGGTGACAAGTAGGGGCAGAGGGTAGGTCAGTTTCAAGGAGGGTGATGACGACATTGTGAGACGGAGGGACTTAGAGCCACAGACGCCTGAGGGGATGGGTGTAAGGGCGGGGGCAGCAGCACCCAGAGCCATCTAGACACCAGATCTGGGTGCCCCGCCCTTCCCACTCAGAGAGGCTGAGGGTCCGGGCACAGGCTTCCAGGCCAGCCTCCGGGGGTGATGAACGAGGGAGCCCCTCAGCCAGGCAGACAGGGAGGGGCTCCCATCGAGTTCTGTGCCTTTGTCGGCAGCCAGGGTGGGCCTGCTGCAGTCTAGAGACCCCCACCTGAGCTCAGCAGGAGGCTGGGTGCAGCCCCCTTGGGCACTGGGACCCCACCTCCCATTCCCAAGGCTGCTGTGAGTCTCCCCGGGAATGCCTGCATGAGGAGAGTCCCCCCTAAACTCTGATACAGTGTGGTCCGGGTGGGAGGCCAGAGTCTGGCCCTGGTTACTGGCAACCCGGCCCCCACTTTCCTTCTCTGTAAACAAGGGCCCTCTCGACTTCCTTGGGAACCACGGGGCCTGGCCTTGTGCTCAGCTCTGGGCTCTGCTGGGCTGGGGGTCGGGGCTGGGGCTGGTTTGCTCACTACCTGCCACAGAGGTCTGGTAGTGGGACCTCGACATCGTGCAGGGACTGGGCCGAAACCTGGGGCTTGGGAGCCGGGGCAGACTTGACACCCCATTTGTGCACCTCCTTGCCTTAGAGTGTGTAAAGGGCCCCAACATCGCTGCCATTGTGGGGGGCACCGTGGCGGGAGTTGTGCTTGTCGGCATCCTCCTGCTGGTCATCTGGAAGGCCCTGACACACCTGAGCGACCTCAGGGAGTACCATCGCTTCGAGAAGGAGAAGCTCAAGTCCCAGTGGAACAACGTGAGTGGCCTCGGGCCCCCCACGAAGGCCCACCTCCTACCCTCCAAGCCGAGGCGTCCCCACGGGCTGTGCGCCCGCCCCACTCCCACCCCTGAACCTCGTCCACCCCCAGTGGACACTGTTGTGGCCCAGAGCCCAGCGTCTTCCTCTCTGTGCTGACAAACCACGTTTGCTTTTCTCACCAGGATAACCCTCTTTTCAAGAGTGCCACCACGACAGTCATGAACCCTAAGTTTGCCGAGAGTTAGGGGTGCCTGGTGAAGACAAGGCCTTCTGCACCACCCAGACGGGACCACCCCCTCTCCACGTCCCCTCCAGCAGGCCGACCGTGACCCCGCTGCCTTGTGGACGTGGCTGATGATGCTTGACAACTCCACTGTTAACCAAAAATGCACTGCTTTTCCTGCCCCAGAATGATGGGCGTGACCAGATGATCCTATGGGCTCATGGTAAGGGCCAGCCTCCCCCTTGATATCAATGACTTTTGATAGCAAGTCAGAGAAGGAATTGCCTACATTTTGTACGGTTACACACAGGTCCTTTGTAAAAATTAGCACAGAAGTCTAATGAAGAATTATTTATATGTGAACTTCTCAGGGTGTGAAGTTATATCCCCTTGGTTATGCTGCCCCCCAATCAATAAAAAAAATCAATAAAATCTTCCTGTGCAGAAGCTTCCGTGGGAGCCAGGCTCTGCTCCTCCCCCACTGCACTTTGAAGGTCCGCGTGGCCTCTGGGCCAGGGCATGGGGTTCTCTTTTTCTCCTTCCTCACCTGTTGCCCATGCAAGCCTTTCTCTGTCCCTGCCTGGGTCCCCCTCATAAGCAGCTTTGAGAAGGAGAAGCCCCCCCGAAGGGGGTCCCATTGTGGTGCCTGAGTGGGGCCGAGGCAAGATGGGAAAGTGAGCATCTCTACCCCACTCCGCTGTCTACACCTGCTCTCGGCTAATGATGGGACAGAGTTTGAGTGTGTTTCTTGGGGGCTGTTTTCTAGAGTGACCTGGAGGTCATGTTGACCGGATGTGTGATGACAACATCGGGAAGGTCCCACCGTGATCACCAAGACCTATGTGTATCTGCCAGTCTCTGTAGGCTTGGTGTGGGTCAGGGTCCAGGTGTGGCCAGTGAGAGCCCGTGAGGATGGGGCAGTCCTTGGATCCCCAAGGAAAGGGCCATACTCCCATAAGCTAATATTTTCTGGGACTTCCCTGGTCACGGAGTAGGGAGTCCGCCTGCCAGTGTGAGGGACACAGGTTCCTTCCCTGCTCCAGGAAGATCCCACATGCCGAAGGGCAGCTGAGTCCATGCGCTGTAGCTACTGAAGCCCGGGCTCCCTAGAACCTGTGCTCTGCAACAAGAGAAGCAGGTACACTGCAGATAGAGAGGAGCCCCTGCTCACAGCAACCAGAGAAAGCCCTTGGGCAGCAGCAAAGACCCAGCACAGCCAAAAATGAAAAAACAAAAAAATACATCCTCTGAAACCCTGCCGGTACTGGCTCTCTTCATGTTACACAGGCCTAAGAGAGGCAGACAGATGTTGAGTATGGAGTGCGTGTTTGTGAATATATATATATTCAAATGCATAGACATAGTTTCAGATGATATTTGCCCTTATTTTTCCCTAAAATATATAATTCTTTATTAAAACCCCAGCATAATGCTTTGTTAAAAAGAACATCAGTTCATTCAAACAGCACTTCTGGAGTCCTGCCTTTGCCAGTCACTGCAGAGAAGATTGGAGAAGGCAATTGCACCCCACTCCAGTACTCTTGCCTGGAAAATTCCGTGGTTGGAGGAGCCTGGTGGGCTGCGGTCCATGGGGTCTCGAAGAGTCGGAGACAACTGAGCGACTTCACTTACACTTTTCACTTTCATGCATTGGAGAAGGCAATGGCAACCCACTCCAGTGTTCCTGCCTAGAGAATCTCAGGGACAGGGGAGCCTGGTGGGCTGCCGTCTATGGGGTCACACAGAGTCAGTCAGACACAACTGAAGCGATGCAGCAGCAGCAGCAGCAGAGAAGACTGAGCAAGGAGGGACGCTCACTGCCCTCACGGAGGTACATGCCGGGGTAGCCTCCCTGCTGGTGTGAAATGATAAAGGATGCATGCTGAGATGGAAGGGCACATGGTCCAGACCTGAGTTCAGTCACTCAGTCGTGTCCGACTCTTCGCAACTGCATGGCCTGCAGCACGCCAGTCTTTCCTGTCCTTCACCATCTCTCAGAGCTTGCTTAAACTCACTGTCCATTGAGTCGGTGATGCCATCCAACTGTCTCATCCTCTGTTGTCCCCTTCTCCTGCCTTCAATCTTTCCCAGCGTCAGGGTCTTTTCTAATGAGCAAGGTTTAAAGAAAGAAAACTGCCCACGTCGCCCACGGCACTAGAGGGAGGTTGCCTGTGCAGGCGCCTCAGTAGACGCGGGTTCGATCCCTGGATCCGGAAGTTCCCCTGCAGGAGGAAACGGCACCCCACTCCAGTATTCTTGCCTGGAGAATCCCTTGGACAAAGGGAACTGGCTGGCTACAGTCCATGAGGTTGCACAGAGTTGCACGCGACTGAGCACCCATGCACACCTCGACCACGAGTCGAGTAGGTTACTTCTGCCGCTAGTAACCTGCACTGCCGCCTGCCCTCCTGCAGGGGGCGCTCCCCCTCCCACCTAGGGCCTCTGCCGCCTCGCCATCCGGCCGCCAATCACAGAGCGTGGCGAGCCCGGGCGCGCTCCCGCCTCGAAGCCTTCGCTGCAGCCCCCGGGCGTCTTTCCTTCCTGCCTTGTTCATAAGTACGCGGGCTTGACACAGAGCAGCCGAAGGTCAAGCTTCTACCACCTTCGTGGTGCCGCATCCTTCCGCGCCCAGGAGAACCGGGCTGTGGTTTTCCAAAATGTTAAAACCCGATTGAACAACATGGACTCTCTTCCAGACAACGCTGGGCCGCGGGTCAGGCCGGCTCCCCGCCTGATTTATGTGGGTGACTGTGCGTGTGTCTGGTCTTGACCTTACCCTCCCTGCCACCCTGGCAGGCGAGGCCCTCCTCACCCCTGGTCTGCACACTCAGGGGCCCCACTCCAGCCCCCAGGCCCTGCAGACGCCCCCACTCCCACCCCCCAAAGTCAGACAGGCAAGCCCGAGGACGTCTGGCACCTCCCCCAAGCGGCTGCTTCCTCTGGGGCCCCCTGGGTGCGGCCCCTGAGTGGGGTCCCCCCGCCCTCGCTGCGCATCGGCATCTACACAGACAGGCAGCGGTGATCTTATTCCTCCCTCTCTCTCATAAGATGCAGTTCTCTCTGGACGCCCTGACCCCTTGGTCCCCAAACCCCCAGCTAAACCTCCTCCTTCGGCAGCACAAGCCTGTGGACCAGAAAAAAATACAGCTGGAGCCTCACTCTCCAGATCCTATAGTGTTCTCCACTCTGCTTTAAACACAGATTTAGAGACTCAGTTAGGATCACAATCCTACCTCGCTTGTATAGGCAACTCCATGGATGTTTGTTTCTAGACTGTGGGTACATTTCAACCAGCTAATTTTGTGGGTTTGTTCTATCCTTTAACAATGACACCTCCATCGTGCACCATCCTATCTCCTTAGCCCAGTCCATCCCAGCACCGTAATACTACCCACCAGGTAGTATTACCTGGGAAGGAGCTAGATGCTGCTAGGGACACAGGTCAGTGGGGGCCCTCCCTCAACCTCTGTCCCCTGCCCCCACCAGGGTGTTGTGCCATGAAAAGCTCTGAACCATGGCAGAGCAAGCACACAGCCCAAGTGGAGAATTCAGGACCGGGTTCCCATACAGGCAGGTTGTGACCCTCGGCAGGTGGCACACACGGGGTGCGGGGGGAGGAGAAAAGGGGGGGGAGGGAGGGTATCAGAATGATGTGGGAGCCTGGTTCATAGCCAGGCCCAGTGACCAACTATCTAGGGTGGCCTGGAATGTCCCGGGTTTTTTTTTTTTTTTTTTTTGGCCGAGCCACATGGCATGCAGGATCTTAGTTCCCCAACCAGGGATGAACCTGAGTGCCCTGGAGTGGAAGCACGGGGTCCCAACCACTGAACTGCCAGGGAAGTCCCAAGGGATGTCCCAATTTAACCCTCAAATCTCCTTATCCTGGGAAATCCTGCGGTCTGGGCAAGTTTGGACAGTGGGCCACTTCTGCTATCTGTGTTTTCCCACACAACCAAGCAATTAACTCAGTTCCCTGAGGACTCTGACCAGCGTCCCACAAATTTCACTCAATTCTGATTCAATCTGTCTGGAGATCTCACAGATATAAGGGCTCAGTCGCACCAGACCGCCCCCATCCTTGCCCGTCCCAGGTCACCTGTGCTTCTGATGGACCAGCTATTGCTCAGAGATCTGGTTAACTTGCCAGAGGGGCTCACAGAACTCGAAAACAATTTACTCACTAGATGACCAGTTTATTTTTATAATGAATGAAAAGCCAGAAGGGCCGCAGGGTTTCCACGCTCTCTGAGCCCACTCTCCTCGCCCTGGAAGCCCCCCGAACCCTATCCTTTTTGGGTTTCTATGGAGGTTCTGTTGCAGGAAGGGGGACCTGCTTGTGTAACCCTCAGAAATGAATTGTCCGAGGAGACATACGTGCTGACAAAGCAAGAGACTTTATTGAGAAGGGACACCCGGCCGGAGAGCAGCAGGTTAAGGGAAGCCAGGAGGACTGCTCTGCCATATGGCTTGAAGTCTCAGGTTTTATGGTGATGGGAGTAGTTTCCGGATTGTCTCTGACCAATCATTCCTGACTCAGGGTCCTTCTTGGTGGCCCACGCATGGCTCAGCCAAGGTGGTACCAGTGAGGAAGATTCTGGGAGATTATGGAAGGGCATGTGGGCTAGTGACTTCTCTCTCCTTTTGATCTTCCTAGATTCTTCTGATTGGTAGTAGCTTGTTAGTTCTGCATTCCTTACCAGGACCTCCCATTCTAAGATAACTCACACAAATGGTTACTCTCAGGTCTGGCCAGGGCAGGCAGTTTTGATTGGTGGTTCCCATAATAGTTCCATTACCTAGGCCTAGGCATGGTTGATCACGTCACTCTGGCCCCTCTCCCCTCCGTGGAGGTCGGACTGCCAAGGGGACTACAAATTCTCCTGGCAGGTGGCCCCTATCCAGAGCTACTTTCTGAAGGTCACAGCATGAACAAACTCTGATGTGGTTGAAAGGGTATTGTTGTGAGTAACCAAGACACACCTTTATCACTCATCACTCAAGAAATTCCAGGAGTTTTAGGAG